ACACCGTGAATTTTCATAATGGAAACACCACATGACATGTGAGGAAAGCTATGGCACCTCATTACAACGATAATTGAGTAATATGCGTGCCTTATCCTCAATTAGTAGCATAGAACCTTACGATTCATTAAGCCTTGTCCATGCACGCCACTGGTTTTCGTGGTATACTGCTTCTGGTATTATCGATGTTAGATTCTTCTGTTTGTCCAAATTTTCAATTAGTAATTCTGGAACTAATCAATTTGAGTAATTGTGATCTTCGTAATAGTATTATTTTACTTCTGAAATTATCGGCATTTTTTCTCGAAATTCGTTAGCAGTTCGAATTAAGTGAGCTCAACAAAGAAGATATCACAAATTGTTAGTAACCTCGGTCACGAAGTATGAGGTTGTAGTATTCATAAAGCTTTCAACACTCTTCGTACTACGCCAGGTATTTTCCAAAGAATCAGAGAGTCTCTGTGGCGTGGATCACGTGGTTGTGTTGAATCCAGAGGTGACTTAAGTCGTCATTTAGCTTGGATGTTATAGCATTTATTATTTTTGAAATAAATACTCTTTGTTTCGAAGTTTCTTTAGCTCAAAACAAGAATGGATATGCCACTGATTATACACGCGTATTATTCAATTACTGTTAAAATGAGTTGCCATAGCTTTTTTCATATGCCATCTGCTGTTTCCAATATCAAGCTTTACGGTGTCATTAGAATAGGAGAGGCTAAATCTTTTCATAAGAATATTTTACTTCAAATATTCAAACCTGCAAAACGAGTGATCTGACAGAAATTCCTTAGGAGTCAAAATTCATGGAAAATTGAATGGTATTTTTATAAAGTGTTCTTCTTTTTTCCGGAAAGGCCAATAGATCAGATAATATCTCCAAAGAGGTGTTCAGGTACCGCAGTTTCTATGACCCTGGTTTAGTTTGGGCCAGGAAAGTCTGTGTGTCTACTGCTATCTTTATCCGCTCCGTGGATATATTTTTTCAATATCGTAAATAAAACTTTTTCACCGTGTATCTCGGCAGGAGAGCATCTTTGAACCTATATTGATAGGAAGTTATTTGCTTTGTTTTTATGTACTTTACATCCTAGAAATATTGACTACGTCTATCTGAAACACCCTGTATATATCATAACTTGATTTAAATCAAAGGATTTAAGTTAATCAAGCCTGGTTTCTGCCAACATAGGGGTCGGTAGTATCGCGTCTGTTGACTAGACCTATACCGAATTGAGGAATGCTAAAGAGCATGAAACAATGTTGCTTCTGGTTGGTTATGGACACAGAGATGCAAAGCAAACATATCCTATTTAGCATCATGTACTGCAGCTTAGCCTGCGATGCAGTATGGAATAGTTTGTATTTCTTATTCTTATTTGATCGACAAACTTCCAGAATTTGAAGTTCAAGTTATTCTTATATTAATTGCAGTTGCGATTAAAATAGAGAAAGCGGACATGACACTGAAAGTTTTATGAGAAAATTACACGTTGGCGTGGATCGATTGTACGGAAAATATTGACGACAGTTGGTAATGTACATACGACTGAACTTAAAAGTTACATGTCTTTACCAGCTTTTTAATTAGTAGTACTGCACACAGCAGTTGAATGGTTTTATAAATAAACTAGACGTTAATTATACAAATTTATAATATTTTGGTAGATTATTTTTACAACCTTGTGTTACATTAAAAAAGATGGGATTTTATTTATTTATTTATTTACTAGTATAGATATACACTATCCGAACAGTTTATTACACCATTTAACTGATAGGGACACAGGAATCAATTTTAAGATTTAGCCCACTGCTATGTAAAATCTTTTCAAGCTACGTAAATTACAGAAGAACAAGTCTAGAGCGTTTCTTGCACGTTCATAGTTGTATTTCGGATAGGAAAGCAACGCATTGGCTCTAGGAATGTTAAAGTAAAAGTATTTTGAATTGGATCGCGTCTTAGCATTAGGTACATGAATAAGAATCTTACGGAGTAAATATTCACAATGTATGGAACTATTAAGGAGTTTATATAAAAATACACAAGCAGCGTAGTTTCTGCGCTCTTCTATTCTCTAATACCTATGCTGAAGAGGATCTGTCTGCGACCATAACCAATCGTATACATCGTTTCATACTTTTTATCAATTATCCGTACATCATAGACCTAGTCGTTTGCGGACAGGTGACGAAAAGCAAACCACAATTTCCAAATGAAAGGGCTGATACGTTCACTATTCTGAATATTTGTACACTTTCTCTTATCTGCTGCTAGCAGAGTGCGTCTCATGAATATATCAATTGCACTTAGTTTACTCTGAGCGGCCTGAGCATCAGTTTTCTGATGAAACCACAAAATATAGATCCTCAGAGAATAGTTCGTATAGACGTGAACGGACGGAAGAAAATAAGAAAATGACAACAAGTAGATTGGCTCTATACATCCTACGCCTTCGTTGGATGTTTCATAGAAAAGGGATGAATCTAGTTTCAAAACGCGAAATCGAATCGTGATATTAGGTAGGTTCACCCAGGTACGATGAATGTTGGACCTCTATATCATACCATATAAAGTAAATCTATCATGTTTCTGTTTACAAGGCAGATGTAGGGAAAACATGTGTGACTTATTACGTTTAAAGGCTGCTACACACAGTGCCGGCGGCAGGGCCGCCGGGCAAGCCGCCTGCTAAGCCTCCGTACACCCGGCGGCATACAAAGCCGCCGGCCTTGCCGCACAAAGGAGCCGCCGGCATTGCCGCCGGGGAATGCCGGCGGGTTACGCGGCTTGCCGGCATCACTTCGTTCCTGGCATTCGAGCGGTAGTGTTGTGTGGTTTGTGTGTTTAAAATGTCGTTTAATTGGGACGACGAAGCTGTGCTGCTTTTAATCGAAAAATTTCATGAAAATGATATATTATGGAATCCCAGAAATGCAGACTATAAGGATAGGAACAATCGACGCACTGAACATAATTGCAAGTGTATTTGACATTGATAAAGGCAAAGTAGAGACGATGTACAGAAACCCAAAAAACATGCTATTGCGCAAACGCTGACACCCCACATCATCTTTTTTATACTCTTCTATCACTACAGTACCGTTTCGCCATTTTCTATTTTGTAAACTTGGGTGCAACCCAAACCTTCTGTGACTGTCACAACCGGAATGATGCTTGGCGGCTTTGCGCGGCTTGTGCCGGCGGCTTGTATTGCCGACGGCATAGCCGCTCGGCATAAACCCGGCGGCATTGCCGCCGGCTTGTGTGTAGTAGCTTTATGAGGTGCATAGTATCACTGAGACAAGCTTATTAATAGAAGGTCTTCCACTGACACAAAGTATGCAAAAATTTACAACCATTTATCGCAAGCACCTTCCAATCTACAATTTTCATCCACTCCAAACAATGTTTTAAATGAGTAAGAGTCTCTGGACCGTTGTAACATTATGTTCTAGCGGTTTTTTGTCCTTAGTTCCGCCGCCACTGAATCAATTTTGAAAATCTACTACTACCCGAACGAAGGCAGTAGGTTGGGCCAAATGGGTGGTACATTTAAGTATCATAAGAAAATATCTGTGTAGATATAAAAACAGTTAAGTCATCACTTACAAAAGCATCGCAGAATGCTAAAAGTACCTAAATATTCCTAAAATATATAAATATTCTCCTGTAGTGGCATGTCAGTGTCGACAAGCCCGCAGGTTTACCAGTTGGACTTTGTTACCCATTGCGCAGTCTGCAGTGGCCTCCACGACGATGCAGCCTCTCTGCATCTCTGCATCGCGCCGTGCACCCAAAGCCTGCGATTGCTATTTTGAATTATTCGTTGGCCTCTTATCATTTAATTTTACCGTTGTTACCGGGATCAGTAACGATAGAACGTTTTTGCCTAATACTAAGGATGTAACATTTAAAATCTCTACCCCCTACAAGCCCCAATCTTCAACTCCTACAAAAATTTTCTGAAAATGATTAGAAGCCTCTGAAACGTCAAAAAATGGATGAGCGATTTTTTATGTGTTTTTGCCCCCCATTCCGCCGCCACTGGACCGATTTAAAAAAATACAAAGCTTTTGCGCCTTTGGCATACAGTATGTGGAAATTTCATTAGAGCGGTACTTTCCAAGTTATAGAGGGGTCAAGAATATAGCATCCAAAAAACAGTAGGTATATCAATTTCGTGTTTTTTCGCGACAACAATACTTCTTCGCCAGTTGGCGTAGGAAGAAAAAGTGGAACTCTCCATAATTTCCATTGGCAAAGTTAGACGAACAATAAAAATAGAGGGTATTTTAGGACTGGATTCCTCCCAATTTCTTGTGACCTGTACTTGATTAACTTAGGGAGGAGGTCTCTCCCACTTGGCATCCACGACTGGTATTTTCTACCAGTATGTTAAACGAAAATGGTGAATCCACGTGAGTGATTAGACGTCTATGAAAAGAGGTTATTCGTCATTGGGCAAGAACATTCTCACAGGAAAATAAGTTCAAACTACACTGTGAAAGACGAGACATGCAATCCAAAACAAGATGGGCGGTAAATTAGTTCAATGAATATAAAATAGCGGTCACTATAATGGTATAGCTTCAACCCGACAGCCCAAATTATAGACTGTTGGACAGAGTACATCACTTTAACCTAAAAACCAAACGCCTGCCCAACAGAAAAACGTTTGTACATTAACGTTTCGACCCATTTCTTCATCTGATGGATTTTTATGTCGGGTCAAGCTCCTGAGTATATTGGTTCCGTTTATCCATAGGTGAGAAATCGATAAATAATTTGATACGTTGAGTTCTAATTCCGAGAACCAACTACAAATTAAATATTGGTGATAACATACCATTTCTATAAAACATACAACCATAAAAAAATTCTATTTCTGTGATGTGGTGATTGTAATGATTTCAAATATCAGTATTAGCTAAAAAGTGTACAGTTATCAGAATAATATTTATTTATTTTAATTTATTCTCTTGAAGATTTTGCTCACCTGGATTTCGAGTCTATATTCTCATTCTTATATCCTACAACTGAACCTGCAACTTTTGCCACAGCCTTTGCTGCAGCATCACACCTGAAAAATTTAGGTAAAGACATGGTAACTTGCAGCACACAATCCTGTTAACTAGAGCAGAAGCATTACTTTGTTCAAATATAAATTTACAAAATATTTAGTTCTACAGTTGCATTTCTATAGTGAAGTTCGAAGAGTTGGAGTACTTCTTAGTTACTCTGTCATTGTGTTATACTATAAATTGCTTGGAGTCTTCTAAAATTTAACACTAGAGAAACCTTATTGTTGCAGGTCTGGATAGCTTTTGATATACGGAGCTTCCAAAATGGAGTTTTTGTGCATTATTGCTTGTATAGGTACGAGGTGTGTAGATCAAGTAATGAGATTGCTTTTTTCCATTTTTCCATTAAAATAATTATAATTTTATGTTGACACCCTCAAAATAACACAGCGCTGGAGACAGTTATGCCACTCTCCATAGCAGTACTGGAACTCCGATACTAGAATAGCCTTCAGCTGGTCGGTTACAGCGGTTTGAATATTTTTGACTGTTCCAAAATGAATTCCTTTGAGGTGATTTTTCAACTTCGGGAAGAGAAAATAGTCACAAAGACTCAAAACACCCAAAGCTCGTCACCAGTAAAATCTCTTTCAGAAAATGGGGGTCATTTTCAATAGAATCCAAAAAGTCATCCTTCCCGAAAAGTTTTTTGGAACCATTTTTGCACATATTCACTGGTCTGATGAACGGTGGGGTAAGTCAAATTTAGCTCTTCCCTGATCATTCTGTCAACCGACGATTTGAACGCACAATATCCCGGATTCTGTCGGTATTTTCACCGGTTCTTGAATATTAAGGACTTTCGCTTCGTGGTTCATCTTCAATCGACTCCCTTCTGAAAATGCCTTAAACCACCGAAAACCCTGGGCTCTTGACAAAAGACTATGTCCTGCTGAGATCGAACGCTACATTGCCAGTCTCATTACTTAATTTACAGACCCCGTAGGTAGAAAACTGAAGTAGTGAGGATCCAACTTTGATCATGTTTTTGGGGACATAGTGAAGGCTTAAGGATTTCAATACTATTGCTTCTGCTCCAGCCACTAGGAGATGCTAGGTTAATGCACTATTATAAATTGTACCTGGAAACATGCACCACCTGTGCAGGAGGCCTGTTCAGAACTCTGGGTTGACTGGCAAAAGCATACAATTTTTGTATCTCCTTGGTATCTTTTTTGGGTGAAGGTGATTCTACCTTTATGCCAATAAGGCTGGCGATTTCAGGAGGAGGTTCCAAAAATTCCCCCTGTTTCACTGTTGTTACGAAAGGTTTTCTTGATATCTCCGCGTTTTTCTTATTTTGTTTTTCATTTTTCTGCAGTTTTCTCAACTTGAAATCTGCATTTATGGGTTGTTAGTTCCAGAGTGAGTTGCAGTAAAACTTTAAGTAACTATGTAACATATCTACAGGCATACCCAAGACGGCTGTTTGAATAATCCAATGACCAACCAGTCAATGTTTGAAATATGTTAATTTGTATTGATTATAACACACTTAAAAAAATTAAAACTTGCCACCTAAAAAAACAGCATAGTCATGATCAATCTAGGTTTTTTTGGTATCATTATGGGCTTAATGCCACAAAATAAAAAAGATGGTAACTTCATCCTGGTCTTAACTTCTCAGTTGTCACGTTACTCACAGGCTAAGCTCCTCTAATATTTTGAAGATTAAAATCAGTTTATTAGTTTCCTGATTATTGATGTTGGAGTTTTATAATCTTTGGAAAATTTGATCGATCATACATATACAGGGTTACAGGAAAAGTCGTGCTAGATCCGTTAAGGGCGTGTAGTACCCATCATTTCTGACTTATTTCATTATGAAACACCCTACCCTAAACTTAACCCTTTTCGAGATATTCAACTTTTAATGTTTTTATTGAAAATTGCCGATTTTTAGGCTACTAAATGTATTTATTTTTATTTTGTGTATGTTATTATTACTATTATTGTATTTTAACATGTGTAATAAAATGCTTTAGGACGTCAGTCATTAAAATAGTCCATAAGTTAATTGAATAGGCCGTAGTAGATAAGTGAATGTTAAGAAATTGAAAAAAATATCAGAAAGTTTATTTTTCTCGAAGGGATATCTAAAAAAAATATTATGGCAATTGTTCGGCAGATGTGTTTTAAAATATCTATGTTTTATCAGCTATCTAACGAGGTATAACAATCTAGGATTTGTATTACATTTCGTAGAAAAAAAGTAGTTGGGACGCTCCAGTAGCAGTTCCCACGCCTATTCTCCTTCAAGTTTAGACGCACCGTGCGAGCGAGACATGACGATTTAATGTGGGTGCGAATGAAAGAAAACATATTATAATAACCGGTTAGGGCTGGAAATCCAACACGGGATGTTGTTTTGGTTGTCAGTCTGCTTTTGTGCTTCGTACATAGTAGATGTGATATCGTTTTGCTCTTTTCCTCGACTTGGCTACGATTCTGGACTATTTCTTCTGATTTGTGAATACTGTGCTTGTTCACTGGACTCTGATTTGTACTTGTGATACGGAAGTGTTGAAGATGACGTCCTACACACCTGAGGAATATGCTGATATGCTTATTTGTTACGGATACTGCGATTGTGTATCTGCGCAAGCTCGCAACGAATACAGAACTCGCTTCCCCGGTCGTCGAGTGCCGGATGTGGCCGTTTTTAACAGAGTTTATCTAAGACTTCGAGAAACTGGCTCTGTTTTGAGACGAAATACAGACCTGGGAAGACCACGAATTTATGACAACGAAGAACTGCAGGACAATGAGATAGTGCAACGCTTTCAAGCGGATCCGACCATTTCCACTAATCGTGTTGCCCGTGATCTGGGACTTTCGCAATGGAGAGTGTGGTTTACAGTGCATACTGCTGGCCTATACCCGTACCATTACACGCCGGTACACACTATTGAAGAAGGAGACCCCGCGAGAAGGTTGGACTTCAGCAGATTTATGCTAAATGCTGACGTAGAAGACCCAGATTTTCTAAGAAATATCTTATGGACAGATGAATCCAAATTTGATAACGATGGCATAACTAACTATCACAACGCCCATTACTGGGCCCCAAAAGTACTAAGGAATCCCAATAAGAAAAGAGTGGCGAGGTCCCGACGAAGATTCAGCGTGAATGTGTGGATGGGCATTATCTCCAACCATTTGATTGGACCTTACTTTCTCCCGGACAATCTAAATGGGGAAAATTACGAAAACTTCTTGAGAGGAGACTTCAGACATTTGCTGGATGATCTGCCACTCAACTTGAGAAGGGACATGTGGTTCCAACATGATGGCTGCACTGCCCATTTCAGGAGAAGTGTCAGAGACTGGCTGGACACAAATTATCCAAACAAATGGATAGGACGAGGTGGGCCGTTGCCATGGCCAGCAAGAAGTCCGGACCTAACCCCCATGGATTTTCATGTGTGGGGGTGCATGAAAAGTCTTGTCTACAGCGAGCCAAATCCAGTTTCGTCTGTGGAAGAATTAAGAGAAAGGATTGTCGATGCAGCAAATCAACTAAGGACAACGTTGACCACTGCAGTTGTAAAGACTGGTCTCCGTAGAAGGATGCGACAATGTATTAGAAACAGAGGCAGCCATGTTGAACATGAACTGTAGAGTAAGAAAAAGTTGTGTGAAAACCTGATTTAATAAATGATATTTCATGCTTACCTATTGTTTTATTTTACTTTTTAGGGCTAAGTATCAATTTTCTTCTCCACTGTCGCCTATGAAACTAAGTTTTTTCAATGCATTTAAATAAAATCCTAGATTGTTATACCTCGTTAGATAGCTGATAAAACATAGATATTTTAAAACACATCTGCCGAACAATTGCCATAATATTTTTTTTAGATATCCCTTAGAGAAAAATAAACTTTCTGATATTTTTTTCAATTTCTTAACATTCACTTATCTACTACAGCCTATTCAATTAACTTATGGACTATTTTAATGATTGACGTCCTAAAGCATCTTATTACACATGTTAAAATGCAATAATAGTAATAATAACACACACAAAATAAAAATAAATACATTTAGTAGCCTAAAAATCGGCAATTTTCAATAAAAACATTAAAAGTTGAATATCTCGAAAAGGGTTAAGTTTAGGGTAGGGTGTTTCATAATGAAATAAGTCAGAAATGATGGGTACTACACGCCCTTAACGGATCTAGCACGACTTTTCCTGTAACCCTGTATAGGTGCCCAATATATAACTGACTGATTTGAAATTGCGCGCCATTTTTGATACACGCATATGAGTCGGTGGCGTCGTAGTAGATGTTTAAAGCACATGTGTCCAATTCACCATGGAGCGCTACACGATTCCACAACGCGTCTGTATTGTTAAAACGTTTTACTTAAATAATAAGTCGATTGTTGCAACGATTCGGAAGCTACGACAATATCTCGGTCGAAATAATGTGCTCAGTGTCAATACAATTCGTCGGTGTGGAAATTCGAGCAAGCAGGTGAAGTTAAAGACTTTCCCAGATCGGGCCGTGTTCGAACTGTTCGTACTCCGGAACGTATCGAGAGAGTTCCTGAAAGTGTAGTGGAGCGCCCTAAGACGTCTACCAGACATCGTTCTGAAGAACTGGGTATTCGTCGTTATTCACTATTTAAAAAAAACTTGCATTTGCGGCCATACAAAATTTACTAATTCAAGAACCACAGCCTAGTTAGTTACCATGAAAGTCGGCGACAATTAATACAGTCATGCAATATTGCAGCTTAATACCCAAAATAATGATTTTTAGCGACAACTGATAATGAGCGATGAAGCCCACGTCTTTATGAACGGATTGTTCATAAGCAGAGTTGTCGTATCTGGGCATTAGAAAACCCTCGTGTTATCCATCAACGACCACCACATCCCTTTGAAGACGCTGCGGGTAATTCTCTTGCTCTCACTGGCGAGCGCTACCGTGATATGGTGCAAAACTTTCTAGCTCCTCAAATATAACAATTTAACCTGCAAAACATGTGGTTCCAGGAGGACGGAGCAACTTGTCACACATCTGGGGAAACAAATAATCTTTTGCGAACAATATTTTCGGGACGTTTAATTTCTCTTTAATTAGGATTTTTGAAAAATAGGGTTTATGCCCACAAATCAAATACTGCAGAGCAGCTGAAGAACATTACAGAAGCATTTGAAAATATTACTCCCGAAACCTACCAAAAAGTGATGGAAAATGTAATCAAGAGGGCTCAGGGTGCGCGGCTTCTAGAGGCGGCATTTGTCTGATTTTATTTTTCATACATAATTTCAATAAAGGGTTAAGATGAAAAAATGGACGTATCTTATTTCATTTCACAAATATTCAACATACAAACCAATCAGTTACATATCGGCCACCCTGTATATGCATTTTACTTTGTGTAAGCCTATCTTGTTCCATCTTCATGTACTTATATATCAGGTATGGCAGAGATTATTATCTACACAGTCGAAACTGAGTCTCATATAAAAACCAGAGGGAACGTTTTTATGACTGGTCTTATTTTAGGGGTACATGTACCAGCTATAATAACGGAGTCACGCAAATAAGTTCTTAACTAAAAAATGGCTTTTGAGATAGCCATCTCGTATACCTAGTCACAGAAGATACATAGTCACCAATTTCATGAATCATATACATTATCTGATCTTTACCTAAAGTCTTCGTGAACTTATGATCCAGTTGCTGCTTGAGCTCTTCCAACTTACTCTTGACCAGATTCCCATGCGAACTGCTTTTCCTCCTCATCGGTTTCTGCTCATCCCTATGAATATTCCCGCTAGATTGCGCAAAAGGTCTCTGCTTATTCTCCTCAAGGTTGGTTGGTATTCTCCGTGTGGGATGTACAATGACATTGGGTTTAAGTTTGAGCGCGTCTCCTCCAAACGGCTTGAAAATGGACTCTCCGGAGATGGTCATTGTGACCGGGAGGTTATCTTGGTTGAGGATCTTGAATGCGACCTCATCCTCTACCTCGTCGGACGATACCGACGGGATGGGAGGCATGTTGATTGCTATCTCCGTCATGGGTGTTGAGGTGTTGAGGTTACATGACCTTGTGTAGATGTAGGTCAGCATTTGATTGCTAGTGCTCCATTGCTCTTAATCCACCTGCCTATATGAAAAGATTGCTGTATAGACTGAATGTGCAGAGAAACCTTAATATCATTTTTGAGATCAGTTAGCCACAAACTATTGATGCACTGTTTCATGCGATATTAACCAATCTGAAGCTTGTATTGATTGAAATAATATTGTGGTAGAGGTCTGACCAACAGTTAAACACCATAATATACATATAGATATGTAGTCAATTCAAATTTTCAAAAGTATCAGCCTCAAGCATAGAATACACAAATGTCCAAAGAGAGGAGGTATTATAATGGAAAACAACGGCTTACATAAAGTGCTCAACAGAACAAGCTATTTTTTTTTTGGTATACCGAAGAATAGGCGAATATGGTACTCAAATTAGCTAGACTAAAGCAGGTAAAATAACGTATCTTATATTTGTAGAAAATATCGAGAATCAATGAAAGCTTGAATATGGCTATAAGGTGATAGGAGGCATTGGATAATTACTTAACTATTGCAATCGTATTATTTGAAAATATTTTACCTAATAATAATAGTCATATGCATATAATATCCTAACAAAACCTTGGAAAAAACATTTCTAAACATTCGGAGTCCAAAATAAATGAAGACTTTATCGTTCACTTACAATTTTTCAACAGCATTATCAATTTTTGGAAGAAGGCCACATATTATTGAACGTTTACATTTCATGTGAAATAAAAATTTGAACGTACACATTCCGAATGTCTTTTGGCAACATGACCGTCCCTTGGCCTTCTTGGCTCCAGTAATCCACATTTTAGGTGCACTACTTTGAGCATGGTTAGAGAGTTATAAACCACCTCTTTGTCATACTAGATATATTTCCTTCTTCAGACATAATGTGTATTCTGTCTCTAGTTTGTCATACAAAAACTTAGACGCCGTGGATGTGACATTAACAAAGGTACTTCGGGATCAAGTTTCTCAAACATCATACTTACCCTTTAGATTGATCTAAACACATTTCTTGCCACAAAATAGTCACACAGAAACCGAAGACGGTGAAGACGTCGCGGCGATCTAAGGGTATATTTCGAACTGACCATTGCAGGGACCGGCAAACTGGACACGCGATATGTTGTTATGCGGCTGACGCAAGCGCTTGACCAAAGGCAGGGGAATAATAAATTGGATCTGGAGAGAAAAGCAAGTGTTTTTCAGATAATTCATTATATTTAATATTCTTGGGTTAATGATATTCTGAATTGCAATAATAAATGTTTGATCCCGAATCTCATCTGTTCAGCGAGATAGTTCTTGCTGATTCGGCAACACACGGAAGGAAGCCAAACCATAAAAGTAGGACTGATTATCCAGAATTATACCTATAGTGTAAAACATGCTTGCTGAATCGTCTTGAACATTCCACTGGTGTGAGAGTATTTATAAAATGCATAGCATCTAATTATTCAAATAATGGTGGATGCGCTGGTCTTTCTGAGTTGCGCATTCACCATATTATGCAATTAATGTACATCAACTCGTGTACATCTGCTAGTACTTCTCATGCCGCTGGCGAGGAGTGGAGAAGGTACATATGTCTCTATTTTTTGGCATCAGTATATTCACGGTCGGTTGAAAAAGTATTGCACACCCTATTTTTTCTTGAATCTCAACAACGAAAAGAAGCATTAGCTGTAACAGATGAGCAAATTAAAAATATACTAAGTGACATATAAATCCGAACACCCAGTTTAAATGGTTTTATTTTAATAAAATTTTGTATAACTACTTAATGAAGCATAATAAGTAAATGATAAAAATTTCAAAATGATTGCACTGCTTTAAAGCCCTTTGACCTTTAATAATGTGTGGATGCACCCTGATGTGCTACGCATTCTCCAACGCGCCTAGGCATGCTTCTGATCAGCTGGTCAATGTCCTCCTGTGGTATCTCATTCCAGGCAACCACCAACTCCTCTCGAAGTGCTTCTAGAGTCTGAGGAGGACGTTGCAAATTGAGCAATCTCCTACCCATCATATCTCACACGTGCTCAATTGGGGATAAGTCGGGAGATCTTGGTGGCCATGGTAACAATGTGACATCATTATGTTGAAAGAAGCCTATTGTGACTCTTGCAACATGTGGTCGGGCATTATCTTGTTGGAAAGTTGGATCTGCCAGGGTGTCAAGATAGGGTAAAAGATGGGGTTCTAGAACTTCGTGGATATAACGCTGCGCGTTCATGTTACCTCTGATGAAGATTAAAAGTGACCTGGAACCATAAGCTATAGCACCCCAAACCATAACTCCAACAGTGTGATGAACATGTCTTTCAACAAAAAACTGTGGATTCCTCCTTTCACCACGTCGCCTTCTAACCCTGGCACGACCATCGTGCATGCCTAAACAAAATCGAGACTCGTCACTAAAGACAATACTGTTCCATTCCTGATCCCAGAGTGACCGTTGTCTGCACCACTCAAGGCGAGTACGTCGGTGTTCTCGAGTTAAAGGGAGGACCCAGTGTGGCCGGTATGAAAACAAGCCAAAACTTCTCATTCGTCGGTAAACACTTCGCATGCCAATAGGTCTTCCGTGTTCTGCAAACCATTCATTTGCAATGGACCTGGTAGTGGAGAAACGGTCCCTTAAGGCCAATAATCTTAGGCGGCGATCTTCACGGTCTGTTGTTCTACGGCGGCGTCCAGTGCCCCTTGCTCTTTGCGTACGGCCTTCTCGAAGCCATGCCTGACAACACCTAACCACAGTGTCTACACTTCTTTGCACTCTAACTGCAATTGCCCGAAAAGAAAGTTCAGCTTCTCGAAGTCCCACTATATGGCCCCTATCAAACTCACTAAGTTGACGAAATCGTACAGGTCTCCGTACTCTAGGCATCGTAACCGATCGTAAAGGATGTCAAGAACCAAAATCCGCCAACGTTGATTCTTTACTGCGGCTGAAATATTCATTTTTAGAGCGTCAGTGAATTAAAAAAAAGCAGTATAAAAACCGGAATGTCCAACTGATAAGGCTGACAATTTTTTCACTTGTTATTTACAGTAAGATAAATACATTCACCAACTTTTATTAAAATAAAACCATTTAAACTGGGTGTTCGGATTTATATGTCACTTAGTATAATATGAGAATCATAATACGAATTATGAAATTCAAGAGTCAAAAAGAGTATTGACAGACTAAAAGAAACAAACAAGTAAATAAGTTTTGATAAAATTTGTTTAGAACTAGTACTTTATAACCATACCATTTACTTCAATTATGGCCTGAAGTCATCGTGGCATGAATTTCTGAAATTTAATGGGATTGATATTCAGATATTGAGTACCCCTCCCAATTTAGTGGCGGTGGGCCTGCGATCATTATCCTGCTGAAATTTTTTTTTGCCTGTCCATTTTTTTCAGCACTGCTGTAATTATTGGGCAGAATGTCAACATGCCTGTCTGCATTCATAATGCCTTCGATGAAGCTTAGCTTTCCAACACCACTCCACAACATGCAGAACAGACTGAAATGCTCCCGTCACCATGTTCCACTGTTAAGCTAACACGTCTCATTTTTAAATTAAGTGTTAGGTTTTCTCTATAGATATCTGCTTACTTTAATCTTCAAGATTTAAGCTCCGATGGTCGCCAACGGGTATGGAGAAAACATAACTTTTAATTTGAAGCTTAACATGTTAGCCCAATAGTCAAATATGAGGCTGCATGCAACAATAATGGAACAATGGTGATCAGGGATACATCTACACACTAAAACAAAGGAATAGTTACTTCACCATGTTCGTATATAACTCAAAACTCCACCGCGATCCCATTAAATATTTGTGGCACATGCTCTATCTGAAGGGCCTAAATAGTAAAATGTTTGGCAAACGACAGCTACAAGAATGGGTCCAAATTGGACCAAAAATAACACGATAGCTTCAGCCAATAATTGATGAAAATGGTTTGATAGCAACGTACTAACTGTAAATAAATTTTGTAAACACTCATTTACTGTTTTAGTGTGCCAATATTTTTTTGACGCTTGAATTTCAAAAATGACTATAGGATGGTAGTTTTCCGATAAATCTGTCTCTTCGTCAACGAGATTCAAGAAAAACATAGGGTGTGCCAATTTCTTTTAGACCCATCGGTTATGCTTCCAACCTCGGTATTTCACACATCATGAATTTTCTCGTAGATTAAAACTTAGAATGATAGAGAAATATTTTCAGCACACGTCTCCGGTCTCTGAGTGCATCTGCATCGCGATCTCAGTGTCGTGCCGTGATTGTTGTTTTGCCGAGGCTGACGAGTAGTTGTGGTGAGTGATGAGGAATGGGTGTGGGTGAGGTTAGTCATAGCAGCGTTGCCAGATGGGCGATACTGTAGGTAGGCTAGGAAAAACATGTCCATAGACTAATTGTATGAGCCTCTTCCATAAGGACTACTCGACAAAAAAGAAATTATCTTAGTACCAGAATATGGATTAATATCGTGCAGGGATTTATGTCAAAAAGGCTGAAATACGAGGCTACGTTCTCAACGGCCGATCACATGTCCAACATTTTCCTTTACTTTTTAATCACATTTCATTACGGCTCAATACATTTTTCTGTAATTCCTTTGGGGTTACTTATCTGTTTCTTCTGCTAATGTATCATCTGTAACTCATCCCGTAGTTTTTAAACTGAAAGATGTTTTCCTGGACAAACTAAACCACACTGTTTACTAACTTTTCAACAAACACGGATGCCTTTTTCAGAGTGCAGATCAGTGATAATATTCTGCTCTTTTGCTATACAGGGTGGCCAAACACGTGACGTCATAAAAAAAAATTAGATTCCCCACATCGAGAGGAACCCAAATCACTCCCATATATATGGTCCGATTTTGTTTAGTTTAGGAGTTATGATTTTTTTTCGGATTTTTCGAGAATTTTTGAGTTCTGTGTTTATTTTTACCATAACTTCGTTAATAATTGTGATAAATGCCTGCTTTTTTCACGATTATGTAGCTAAGACCTAAGGCTTAACTATCATATAATCATTCAAGTCATGTAACTAATACTACTTTTTAATTTTTTTCAAAATCTTCGAACATAACAAAAAAGTAAAAAAGTGCAACAACTTTGAACGTTTATAAAAAATTGAAAAAACATGTTCTTACTATTCGTAAGTATCTTAAAAACTTCCTTACGGTATCAGCTATTTACCGTAAAAATTTCATCAACCTAGCTTTACTACATGCTACCGTAATTGTGGCTCAAATAGAACCGAACCCAAAATTGGATAACCCTCTGCTCAACAGAAATTGTTAGTTTCGGAAAAAAAAATTGCAAAAACCACAAAAACACGTTTGATTTTTACTGAACAGCAGATTATTATTCATTTATGTTATTTACAAGAGGTTTTCAAAATGTCTGCCTCTAACAGAAATGCACAGTGTACACCTACGTATGAAATTTTGTTTTAAATCTCTAAATGCTTGTGTGTTGTTTTTCAACACATGTGTCGCTTCTTGAATTTTGTTCCTCAATGAATTTTCATTTGCACATTCTTGGGCGAATGTTATGTCTTTAAAATATCCCCAAACAAAAAAATTATACGTTGCGTGAATATGCAGAAATGCATTATTATTATGGCGTTGCTCAAGGCAACGGCGCTTTAGCAGCTCAGCTGTACCGGGAACAACTTATACGCCGAGGCGGACCACAACCTGAGCATTACCCAGACCACCGTGTTTTTATTAACACACATAACACTTTCATGGCAGGCCGCATTCCAGGACGAGGAAGCAATGAAGGATATCCTACAGCTGATCCGGATCGCAGAGAAGTAGTACTTGAAGAAATTAGCCGGAATCCCTCAACGAGTACGAGATCTATGGCACAAAACCTTAGAATACCACGAACATCGATACAAAATATTCTTCATGAAGAAGGTTATCATGCCTATCATGTTCAAAGAGTTCAAGCGTTGATGCCTTCAGATTACCAGTTAAGAGTGGATTTCTGCGAGACAATGCTGCGAAGACAACGAGAGGATCCCGATTTTTTTGATCAAATTTTATGGACTG